AAGATTCAACACCTTTTATAATAAAAACATCAAATAAACTAGGACTAGAAAAGGAACCTCCTCAACAGGATAAGAATCATACCCGAAAGCCCACAGCTACCATCGTACTAACTGCTGAAAGACTGAAAGCTTTTCCTTTAAGATGAAGAACAAGACAGGGATGCCCCCTTTTGCCACGTTTATCTAACACAGTGCTAGAAATTCTAGCCAGAGCAATTAGGCTAAATAAATATTAAAAACATAGGGATGCCTGGGTGGTTCAGTTGGTTAGGCATCCAACTTTTGATTCTGGCTTGGGTCATGCATGATCTCATGGTTCATGGGACTGAGCCCCGCACTGGGCTCTGTGCTGATGGCACAGAGCCTGCTTGGGATTCTCTCTCTCTTTCTCTCTCTGTTTCTCTCTGTCTCTTTTCTTGCTATCTCTCTCCCTCTCCTTTTCTCTCTGCCCCACCCCGCTCATGCACTCTTTCTCTCTCTCTCTCAAAATAAATAAATAAAAATTAAAGAAAACACACATACACGTGTATGTATATACATATCAAACCTAAATTTAAAAGGAAGAAAATTATCTCTGTTAGCAGATGACATGATCGTGTGTATAGAAAACCCTAAACAATCCACAAAAAATTGTAAGAGCTAATATATGCATTCAACAAAACTCTGGGATATAAAATCAACACACACATAAAATCAACGTATCACTACCCACTTATAAGGAACAATCTAAAAAAAGGAAATTAAAAAATCAATTTTCCATTTACAGTAACATCAAAAAATGTTAGATCCTTACGAATAAATTTAACCAAGGAGGCAAGAGATACACTAAAAACTACAAAACACTGCTGAAAGAAATTAATGAAGGTCTAAGTTAATGGAAAGACATCCCATGTTCACAGACTGGAAGACTTCCTATTGTCCAGATGACAATATGACCCAGAGTGATCTACAGATACAATGCAATCCCTACCAAAATCCCAAAGGCCTTTTATAAAATTTATTTATTTTTTTAACGTTTTATTTATTTTTGAGAGAGAGAGTGAGCAGGGGAGGGGCAGAGAAAGAGGGGGACAGAGGATCTGAAGTTGGGCTCTGCGCTGACATCAGTAAGCCCAACCTGGGGCTCAAACTCATGAACTGTGAGATTGTGATGTGAACCAAAGTTGGACACTCAACTGACTGAGCCCCCTGAGCGTCCCCCAAGGGTCTTTAAAAAACAAATAGAAAAGTCTGTCCTAAAATTCATATGGAATCTCAAATGACCCCAAAAGGTCAAAATAATCTTGGGGAAGAAGAACAAAATTGAGAAATTTACATTTCCTGGCTTCGAAAATTACTATAAAGCTACAGTAAGTAATCAAAATACTTGCTTCAGGACAGACACCGAGACCAATGGAACAGGACCCAGCACCCAGAAACGAGCCACCACGTATATGATGAGCTGAATGTCAACAAGGGTGCCAGGACCACTCAAAGGGGAAGGTGCACGGCTGTCCACAAGCGGAAGACCGACGTTGGGCCCTCATCTCACACTACACACAAAAATGGACTCAAAATGGTCAAACACCTGAATTTCAGGACTAAAACTATTAAACTCGTATTAAAAAACCACAACCACAACCACAACAACAACATGGGGAGAGGCTTCAGGGACATCAGGTTGACAAGTATTTCTCGGATATGACATCAAAAGCATAGGCAATAGGAAGAAAATAAAGTGTTCTCAATCAGGGAGAAACTTTTGTGCCTCACAGTATATTGTCAAGAGAATAAAAAGACAGAATGGGAGAAAACAGTCATAAATCCTCTCCTGGTAAGGGTTTGATTTCCAGAACATAAAAGAAGTCCATAGCAACAGCGAAACACCCCAAACAACCCCATTCACAAGTGGGCAAAGGAGCCGAACGGACGTTTCTGCAAAGAAGATGCACCAACGGTCAGCAAGCTGACAAGACGCCCCCATCATCAGTTGCCAGGGGAAAGCAGACACTCACGAAGGTGGCTTTTAGGCAAAGGGGTGAGGCCAACAAAGCCTTGGTGAGGATGCGAAGAAACGAGAACCCGACACACTGCTGGTAGGGACGCAAAACACAACCAGTATGGCGGTTCCTCAAGATGCTAAACACACAACTGCGGCATAACCCTGCAGCTCCACTCCTGGGGGTCCGCTCAACGGAAGCGAAAGCAGGCATCTGAATGGACGTTACGTGACAACATTCGCAGCGGCGTCAGCGATGGTATCCAAAAGCCACAACCCGAGTGTCCATCCCAAGACGAATGGACAGAGGTTTGGTCAGGCGTCCCTGGGATGTTACTCGGTCACGAAAAGGAGGGAAGCACCGACAGACCGCACTGTGCGTGAATGTTGACAACATCACGTGAAGTGAAAGAAACCAGACACAAAAGGACACACACCGTGTGACTCCACTTACATCCGGTATCTGAGAACAGGAGGATTCACGGAGACAAAACGTAAATTAGTCAGTGCCCAAGGCCCAGAGGGAGTAATGGGGGGGTCGCCCCTGAACGTTTACAGTTTCTGTTTGGGATGACGGAGAAGGTCTGGGAATAGACAGTGGTGACGGCTGGACAATACTGTGAATGCGATTAATGCCACTGAATCATACAGACAGAAATGGCAAATTTTATGTTATCTTTATTTTACTGCAATCAAAAAAGATGAATGATGTAACATACTAAAACCCACTGCACTGTAACTTAAATAGGTGAATTGTATGCTCTGCGAATCAGATGTCAAAGCTGTTGGAGACCAGACGGAGGGGCGGCCGATGCGTCAAGAAAACGCAAAATGCAACCACAGTGAGAAGCCACCTCCCGCCATCAGCAAGGCCGAAGCCGCAGGACAGGTAGGGACGGGTGGTGGCAAGGACGTGACAGAAGGAAGCCCCCATCCGCTCCTGGTCGGAACGTGGACTGCCGTGGCCACGTTCGCGGGAAGTCCAACCCGCAGTCGCCACGTGGCCCAGCAAGACCACCCCCGGGTGTCTACCCAAGAGACACCTGTGCACACCTTTCACAGCTGGACTGTTCCAAACGGCCCCCGGCTGGACACAACCCAAATGTCCACCCACTGACCGACGAATGCCACGGCGTGGTCCAAGCACAACGGAGCAGCTTTCAGCCACAAAAAGAACACAGGCCTGATCTAGCCCACAATGCGACAACCCTCAAAATCATGTTAAAAGAGGGGCGCCACAAGGGGCGCCGGGGTGGCTCGGGTGGTTGAGCGTCTGACTCTTAGTTTCGGCTCGGGTCATGATCCCAGGGTCGTGGGATAGAGCCCCGTGTCAGGCTCTGCGCTGACCGTGTGAAGTCTGCTTGGGATTCTCTCTTTCTCCCTCTCTCTCCGCCCCTTCTCCACTCACTCCCTTTCTCAAAATAAATAAACGTTAAAAGAAGTTAAAAAAAAACTTTTTTTTTTATTAAACCTCCCCCCCAGCCCC